GTAATGTACAGACCAGAATTTACGGATATGCCTAATGTCGGTGACTATGGATTTAACTCATCAGTCAATAATGGTGAGTTATATAAAGGAATTGACTTTCATGCAAAAGAAGCGATGATGGCAATTAAGAATTACAATATTTGTAATTCTGTTCAGTCCAGAGTCGATCGCTTTATCACCGAAAAGTATGTATGCTACTGTGTCGAATATGATAACGGATGCAATTGGATGGTTCGTGTATCAAAGAGGAAGAGGAAAAAGAATACATGGGAACTAACGATATACAACGGTCCTCATACATGCTATGCTGGAGGGATCAACCAGGATCATCCCAACTTGGACTCCGACATTATCTACCAAGCCATCATGCCCATGGTAAAAGCAAGCTCCCAATAGCTATTGTCGTGATGATTTCAGCTATACAATCGCAGTATGGGTATACCGTCTCATACAAGAAAGCATGGAAGGCAAAGCAGAATGCCATTAAAAAACTTCACGGCGAATGGGATGCATCTTACAACCAACTACCAAGTTGGTTTAGAGTGCTGCATAGATTGAATCATGGGACAATTATCGACTTTGAAACTTTCCATGCATATCACAATGATCGAGTGCTTCGCGATCGATGCCAATTCTACCGGCTTTTTTGGACTTACCCACAATGCATTAATGTTATGAAATACTGCAAGCTCGTGGTCCAAATCGACGGGACATTCTTGTATGGAAAATACAAGAAAGTTTTACTATCGGCAATTGTCCAAGATGGTAATCGCAACATACTTCCAGTTTCTTTTGCCCTTGTTGAAGGAGAAGATACAAATTTTTGGGCTTTTTTCCTCAGAAACTTACGCTTACATATAACGAGTAAAAAAAGCTGTGACATTTTAGATCGCGGAGCTGGGATCAAAGTAGTAATGAATTCTTTGGGTCCAATGTGGCAACCACCCTATGTCTAACATCGGTACTGTATCCAACACATTGCTGCAAACTATCATGGAATGTTCAAGAAGAATGATGAGCGCCAATTACTTGTGAGCATGGGTATATCAAAATGTTATTTTTTATTTCTCAATCATTTTCATTTTTTTATGGAAACAAAGTTAGTAAGTTATACATTTGATGTTCAGGTTACGAACTACTACTTGAAACATTTGAGTTCATGCTTCAAGAGTTGCGAGGAAGGATACGATTACATCAGCCTCATCAATAAAGAAATGTGGACAAATGCATATGATGATGGATATCGATATGAACACATGATGACCAACTTGGTTGAGGTTATCAATTCGACCTTAAAGGGGGCACGCCATTTACCAGTAACGACTTTGGTAAAAATGACAATTTTATTTAGGAGCGCTTTTTGCCAAGCTCAGGGGACAAGCTCAAACTTGGATGCAAAACGATCATGTTTATCACCCTACAAAAAAGAATTGATACATCAAATGGAATGTCTGTAACAAGCTTCTCTAGAACCCATGAATTATTTCATGTCACAGAGATCCTGGAACCTCTTCATGGGATTCAAGCTAACTCGTTTAGAGTTAATCTACGAGACATATAGTGCGACTATGGGTTTTTTTCTATCTCTGAAGTATCCATACTCTCATGTCATAGCAGTTTTCTTGCATACCCGTCAAGACTATAATCGTTTTATGGATTTGTATACCGAATTTCAGAAGTGTTTAAGGTGTATGAATTTGAGTTCCCCCGTAAGTAATGAGAAAGACCCTAATGAGGTTCAGAATTGGCTTTCGATTGTACCAGATCCGTCCTTATTGAGGGAGCCTGGTCATCCAAAATCCACTCGAATTTATTGCGATATGGATATTCGGGAAACGTTAAGAGAAAACAAAAGATGTGGTCATTATAGAAACCTATGACACACTAGGAAAAAATGTCCATCTCTTTTGTCATCAAGTAACCGTTGATGTTGTGCTTGATGTAGTTGTTGTTTATGAAATCTAAGTTTCTATAATTTAATTTTCATTTACTTTCAGTTAATGTCATTTGAGCATTATCGATTAATTAAACATTAAAACGATATAATAAAAAAATTAAAAAACAGTAAATAATAAAAACATTCGAACAATTAAGTAATAAAAAATTAACAAACAAAATAAATTAAGTAATAAAAAGTAAATAAAAAAATTACAATTGTGGTAAATAAAAATTTAAATACAAAATAATCAAGGGTATGACTCTATCGATGCCTGCGTCTTGAACGTGTTCCGCAGGGCGATGTATGTCTGTCTCGAAGAGGATTTCTTCGTATAACTTGTTCTGACTCCTCACTCTCATCATCATCATCATCATCAGGAGCTACTGTGTAGATGGTGGCTACTGTGAAGGTTTCGGTGGTGCAACTGAGGACGAGCCAAAAGTGCATGCTCTCCATCCACGAGTTGGGGGCGATGATGTTGTGACGGTGGTCATCTTTGTCAGAAAGTAGTAACGATTGCGGTGCCATCTGAATGCTCCCACCTCGTGCTTACTCGAAAAGTAAGAACGGTTTCCCATTCCTGTTGAACCTCTCATAATAGCCATCCACAACCGAGTAATGATCCATATAAACGAGTTTTGTATGGGGAATGCACCCACGTCGATCCTACCATATCATTACCCACTCATAGTGCTTCAGTATCCAATCAACTTCTTTTTTCCCCGTCTATCGATGATATGCAAATCGTCGAGATTCTTAGGTGCTTCCAGAATAGATTTTACAAAACCAAATTGGCGGAGCACGTGATCAGTGGAATGCCACTTGACAATAGCATAATATATTATAGGGATCACCACCATCCAGACATCTAATAGGTCTCTTAAGTGATGTGGATTGCAAATCCACATCTCTTCAGTACAATAAGGAGTCCATTCAAACTAAAACAAATATATATAATTCTTATCAAAATAATAATAATTATATAACAATAATTAAAAGTGCATTTTGTTATTTAAATAAGTACCTCTGTGCCAACCTTCTGATCAATTAGTAGTCTAATTTCTTCCAATTCATTAGGTAAATCTCGATGATCTTTTCTTTCACTTGACCACCTATTCAATGAAATAATTTTTATTATTTACTAAATAAAATTATTAATATATGAAATCAGTATTATAATTACCTCAATAATAGCGGGAAGACCAATGGGTTTTTCATCACCGGACATAAAAAAGGCATACGATACCACGTCCAAGACTGGAGCAGAATGAGGCATCCGCCGATAGCATTTTTTCTATAGTCAGTAGCTCGACACATTTCCCTATACAGAAATGCCAAAATTACAGAGCACCAACTCAGTGTGCCAGCATAATGAAAATTGGTGAGGTGACGTAACCACATACAATAAACTTAGTTGTGTGATTTGTCTGGCATCAGGAGACCTCCTATAAGTTGTAGTATGCAAGCCCGTGCATACATTTTAACATGCTCCTCGAAGGCATAACCACTCAAATGCTTGAAAGTTGCATCCAACCAATTTAACATAATTCTACCACCATTGAAATTAGGCGGGACACCTCCAAGATACTCCTTGCCCAATGAATGTCAATCACCATGCCACCCCAGAAATCACATCTCCATCTACCAGAAGCCCCAAATGCATGAAAACATCCTCCAACATAATTGTGCACTCTCTACACGGAAGATGGAATGTGTGTATCTCTGGTCTCCACCACTCAACCAATGCAGAAATAAGGTTGGATTCTAAGTTACAGTGTCCTTCATATTTTGCTACGTAACTGAATCCAGCCTCGACTAAATACGACCATACACAAGTAGGCACCATGTCATGATATCCCCGCCTTATCCAAGTTGGTTCCACGTAAGAACAGGCGTGGATCGCCATCCGCATCTTTCTGGGGTTTCTGACACGCGTGCCTTCCATTAATACCCCAACTGTTCACACCTCCCATATTAATAACCCAATTTGCTAAGTCTCATCCCCTCTCCATACAATGCCCTTCATGTTTTATGGTGTTTGGAAGATGTTGTGTAAACCATTTTTCACTAGTTGATATTTTTTTTTAGAAATTATTTATTGCAAATATAAAATATATAAAATATTATTTATTATAAAAACTTAATATTATTATTTTAAAAATATTAGAATAATTTATTTAATACTATTTATGTCAATATTATTATTAAAATATTATTTCTATAATTTTATAAATAAAAATATTAACTCTAGTATATTCTATTAAAATAAAAATATGATAAAATATATTGAATATCTATAAAAATAAAAATAGTATATTATATTTTAAAATTATTAATAAAGATATTTTAAGGAATTTTTATAATATTATTAGACTATTATATTAATATTAAATACATAAATAAAAATATTCACTATTAATAATTCAATAATATTTTTTTAAAAAAATTAATAAATAATATAACTTTTATTAATAATATATTATATATTATTAAAATAAGAATATAATAGTATCATATATTAATAATATAATTGAGTATATTATTGTAATAATATTATTATTATATTATATTATTAAAAATATATTTTAACTAGGTTAATAATTAATATTTTTATTAAAATATATTAAAATATCATATTAATATTAAATTTATAAAATAATATTATTTTGAGTATTTATGCTTTGAAGTGAAAAATTAAGAAAAAAATTTACGAAAAATTAAACCGTAAATCATTTTTCCAGAAAATGCAAAGTAAATTCTGTTAACAAGAAAAATATTTTATATTAACTAATCTATTTTCTCTAACTAAACACTGAAAAATAAAAAAAAATTAAAAAATATTTTACATAAAACAAACTTATCCTAAATCAAATTTTAAATAAAAAATTACTTTTCTAGAATCGAGCTGGCCGAAATCTCGACCCAATTCAACTCGTTAAGGCCATTCGTGGTTATGAATCCCAAACGCGTCACGTCTTTATTTCAGGTGCGTGAACGACACTACATCACAACGTCGCGTGAAATTTCTCATTTCTTGACCACTCCACTTCTCCAACGAGAAAGATACCCATTAATCGGATTCGTCAATCCATTCCGACGCTACTCATTTTCCCTCTGAAAACAAAGCTCTTCGATTTGGTCCCCAACTTCGTGGCCAAACACAACCCTTCATTCTCTACCCCCCCCCCAAATTCCCTCTTCGTTCCCCCAACTTCCGCTGGTATGTACCGTCATGCTGTCTTTACTTTTTAATCTTTGAAGATAACTTTCTTTCTGAAATGGAATCATTTAATCCTAAATACTTTCGAATTTTTGGCTTTTGTATTATAGTTTTAGATCTTTAATGGATAGACACCGAATTCCCATGAGGGCGAAATCTCAGCTTCATGTTCTCCATGATCATTTAATTAGCTACTGTAGTACAGCGTGAATCCGTTGTTAAAAGCACCTTGTTTTGATTCTTTAAATCTATTGAATCTGGGTGCTTTTGTTTTCAGATGAGCCTCTCCGTCTGACCCATTATATCGATCTAGATTTCAACCATATTTGCTCAAGGCAGGTGTGGTGTTTTTCGAGTTCATCCTTTTGAATTTTGAGTTTTCACGTTATAACTGGGTCTCATCGGTTTGGATTGTTCTTTTGTGATGTTTAATCTAAATGGTGATCTAATTCACTTGTAAAATGGGTAATCAAACATTGTTCTGAATTGTATGTTATTGACTCTGGTAGATAGTCAGATTCACTTGTTTAAACATGGATGTGAATTTTATCAAGGATAGTGGTATTTTATATTTTCGGTTTATGAAGCCCGAATTTTGTTATTATATATGCTGGGTTGAGATCCCCCCCCCCCTTTTTTAATGTCATGGGATTTTCTAATTTTACAATATTATTTTGATGTGTAGTTTGCAAATGGCAAAAGGTAGCAAAGGACGACGTGGGATCACTTTCCGGCCAACCCCATACTCGTTTACCTCTTGTAATCATGACATCTCTAAGGATCTCTGTCCTAAAAAATGTTCCGAAGCTTTGGATAAGAAAGATTGGGAAGAGACAACATGTTCTATTTGTATGGAGTGCCCTCACAATGCGGTTCTTCTTCTCTGCTCTTCCCATGACAATGGCTGCCGTCCTTACATGTGTGGAACTAGCTTCCGATACTCGAACTGCCTTGATCAGTACGAGAAGTTCTACACTAAAGTAGTCTCATCCAATGAGGATGAACCTTTGATTAGTTCCTTTGATAATCAGGTTTTGGCTTCAGGTTCCAGTTTGCCTGTCGAGAAGCATGGAGTAACGAAACTCGCATGTCCACTTTGCAGGGGTCAGGTAAAAGGATGGACTGTAGTGGAACCTGCAAGGGAATATTTAAATGCCAAAAAGAGAAGCTGCATGCAGGATGACTGCAGCTTTGTTGGGACTTTTAAGGAATTAAGGAAACACATGAGATCGGATCATCCATGTGCTCGGCCACGAGAAGTGGACCCTGTTCTCAAACAGAAATGGAGTAGGCTTGTACATGAACGGGAGCAGGAGGATGTGATAAGCATAATAAGATCAGCAATACCAGGGGCAATGGTTTTCGGTGATTATGTAATAGAAGGAAATCACCATGGTTTTGGGACAGATGAAGATGATGGTCTCGTTGCAGATGCTGCCGAAAGGAATGGAGGTTTCGAAGCAAGCTTAGATAGAGATTTCGTTTTTCTTCTGCTGCATGCATTGGGACCATCCTGGAATGACGTCGGTAGACAACCAACGCAGCCTACGCATGCAGCAAATGAGATATTACCTGTTGGTTTATCTGATCCAGGCGACTACAACTTTACTAGTGATGACGACGATGGAGTCAATATCTCTTTGGTTAGCCGCCTCCGTCGGAGAAGACGGAGTAGAAGAGATGCCACCAGAGGTCAGATATAAGATCGGTAGAAGTTAGTACACCTTCAAAGGAGAACAAACACAGGCAAGTATCATATCATCGATAGTGTTAGGCTTACACTTTGAAGTTGCACTCATTGATCTTAACTTCTGTATATAGACTTTGTACTGTCAATAAGGAACCTCTTGTCTTTCCATATGATGGATGGTCTTGTAAAGAAACATTCCAATGTGTAGTTGATTGCTGAATATTTATTTGTGATTTATACGGTTCAAATACATTAACATGTGTAATATACGTATATTCCTAAAACATGGATATGCCATATAATCCAATGTGGAAATATATGAACACAGGGACATTAGATTTATTTAGTTCTTGTACTATTTTATATTGTAAATTGGTTCTTGGACTCGAATATGGTCATTTTTATTTCACGTGTTTCAAATTTGAAATTAGATTCCGACTCAAACAATAACACTTGATTTTTCACATTAGGCATGATTTTGAAAGAAAATAGTGTTTGGGTGTTAAAATGGAACAAAAGTAATAATTTAGGTGTTAAACATATAATTTACCTTATAATATATTTTTCAAAAAAAAAATTATTGAATAGTCACAATTAGGGTTCCATTAAGTTTAAAAGAGTGTTTTTAAATTTAGAGTAAACTACTTCAAATACTACTAACTTTTAAGCGTGGACCCTTTTATACTACTAACATTTTAATTTTGTCAATTTAGCACTAATGTTTACTTTTAAGTGCAATTATATCACTTCTTCATTAATGATTTAACGACACGATGATATGACAGCTTTGCGTCTTGACATTGCTGACGTGGATGCCTCACTTAGACGACGTCGTTTTATTTAAAGAGATTTTTTTAAAATTTGAATTTTGTGAAATTTAAACTTTAGACCTTTGGAAACTAAGGATGAGGCTTAGTCACTCACTAATTTAAGATTTTGGTTACATTCTTATAAAAATAATATACAATCACTCACTAATTTAAGATTTTGGTTACATTAGACCTTTGGAAACAAAGGATGAGGCTTAGTCACTCACTAATGTAAGATTTTGGTTACATTCTTATAAAAATAATATACAAATATATTCTTACAAATAATAATTTTGCAAAAACATGTAAAATTTTCAAACTTTTCAAATTCCCCCAAAACCCTAAATACTAAATCCCTAATTTCATCTATTATTGTTGTCGAATCAACGGCCACCGTCCACCATTTTTATCGAAAAACCCTTAACACCAATTATCCCACTCTCCTGTCGTATAAATCGAAGAACAATGTGCTAATCGATCGTCAAAACATCAAATATAAAATTTTTTAATTGAACCATGAACGACGACCAATCAATAGGTAAATGGTGAATAACATGTACGACGAGAAGATGAGGCTTCAGTGCAATGGTAATTATGTGCTATCAGCTATGAAAGTTAATGAATTTAGGGATTATGATTTAGGGTTTTTGTTTTTTTGGGTTTTTAGGAAATTTTAGAAAATTAATATTATTTATGTTAACAAAACAACATCGTTTTAGGCTTTTTTAGTTATCTACATCAGGAACGTCACGGCACGTAACTGCTATGTCATTATGACATTAAATCATTAACGGTGAAGTGATATAATTACACTTAAAAATAAATGTTAATACTAAAATTAATAAAATTAAAATATTAATTGTATAAATTAGTCAACCCTTAAAGTTTTTGTTATTTAAAGTAGTTTACCCTTAAAGTTAACTAAAACAAACAACAGCAGCACTGAAAAGAGAAGTAGAGCTGGCAAATCCACGTGTCAATTGTTTATTGGATGATAATACGGATAGATGGGTTTTCAACTCAACAAATCCTAAAACCCTCATTCCCCTCTCCATACCCAAATCTTTCGTTCACTCTCATCTCACTGCAGCGTTCAAAGAGATTTTCTCAATACATATAAAGCCTCTTCATCCTTGCCCCTTTGTTAAAACTCAAAGCTTCCTCGCAGCCACTCTGTTTCGCCCAGGTAACTTCCACTTCTTGTTGGTGTTGTTCTTTCTTTGTTTCTCTAACCCTAGATCTCTATTATACCTTTGATTTCATTTTATTTGATATGGGTTTAATCTCTAAATGATTTCCAACCTTGGGATTTGATTTTGTTTTGTTTCTAAGAAGAAAAAAAACTAAGATTTGAAACGTTTTTTTTTTATATAGAAATGGACCGGTACCAGAAGGTGGAGAAGCCAAAGCTGACACATAAACGAGAATGAACTCAGGATTACAGCCCAAGGGAGAATGAGGAATTATATTTCTTACGCCATTACTCTGTTTCAGGTTCCCACCTTTTTTCTGTTGGATACTGGTATTGCGTTTAATGTATTCTAATACTTGATTTTATTTTATTTTTGCGGAAGAAGAAAGTGCTGTGTTTGATTTTATTTTGTATTGTTTTTTTCTTTTATAGGAGAAAGGTGACAATGAGATTGTACTTAAATCCACGGGCAGAGTTATCAACAAGACTGTCATGATTGCTGAATTAATTAAGGTTTTCATTTTTCAATACTCTGGGGTTTAAGTTTCACTTATATTAATCTTGTTGTTAGACATTGGTTTTTGGACACTTATGTCCATCACTGTTTTCCCTACTAGTTAGCTTTGTTGTTCATTTGTTCAAAATAATGTGGTCTTCATATGTGGAAATATGTTTCAGTGTTATATAGATATGTGTGTGTACCAATTGATTTTATACTAAGATGTATTAACTTTCTCCCAGAGTAGGATTGCTGGTCTTCATCAGAACACATCGACTGGATCGTTAGACATAACTGACACGTGGGAACCACTGGAAGAAGGCCTTCTTCCGTAAGAACCTATTTCTTCCTAGTACTAAAAGCATCAATCTTCTTGGTAGAACTATTATAAATGCCACAGATGTTTGCTTTTCTTGTGCAGCCTAGAAACCACTCGCCGTTGAAGACACTAGTTTATTCTCCATTTCGTTTTTGTTTATTATTATTATTATTTTATTTATTTATTACTATTATTATTTATTTTTATTACTATTATTATTATTATTATTACAAACAGGTCCATTTTACAAACTCGAGGCCCACTTACAACCAAACAAATCGGCCCAAATCTATCAAAAACCCTAAAATCCAACTAAGGTTTTCTATCCTAGTGTTGTCGTCACCTTGCTTCTCCACCGTTGGATCTAGCATTGATCTAACATTCTAGATGATCCCAGCAACAAACCCTAGGGACACACGATCACTGTCTCTGTTGCCGTTGATCTACGTCGTTCCACGCCACTCCACACACTGCCACGATGCTAACAAGAGCCTCCAGAAGTCTCAAAGCCAACCGTCCACGTTAAAGGCTACTGTGAGTCACCACTAAAGTCTGGTGACTCACCAAACTTCGGCCTTTTATCCGGTCCAAAGAAAGCGTCGATGATGCCTATAAAGCCATCGACTGAACCTGCAAAGAGAACCATAAACAAAAAACAACGAGCAACCCAGCAACCAAATCACAAAAATATAGAAACAAAAATTAAGAGAAGCCTTATCGAGGAAGCAGAACCGCCACCGGGGTTCACACGCGCCTCCAAGTGCCACCAAAAGCCTTCGAAAATCAAAGGTATTTTCGTAGATTTGCACCGATCGGGGGAGCTTTTTAAGGGAAAAGAACACCGGAATCGTCATTAGGACGGTTTGATCTACATTTTTATATAAAATAGTATTTTGAAATCTCTCTCTCGATTTTAGATAGAGAAGAGAAAAGAGGAAAATGAGAAAATGGCCCAAAGGGCCAGTTATAATAGGGTATATATACCCTCTCTTAAATGACGTTGTTTAAGGGAGGGTATTTGTATAATTTCGTGCACGGTTAAACTATTCCTGAAGTCACTGTAACTTTAAAATCTTTCAATTTGATCCATACAACATGTTTTTATTTATTATAATTTGGTATTTGAATTTTAATTTATTATAATTAATATTTTAATCACAAACAACATGTTTTAATTTGTTTTAATTTAATATTCAAATTTGATATAAGTTTATTTTAGTCCCTAATTTAATAAATTGGTAAAATAGCATATTTAGCCACTATAATTTTAAATAATTAATTATGAATTAGGGTTTTTTAATTTTAATATGTTCTAATTTAGTCAATAATTTTAATACTTTAATTTATTTTGCAAGTTTTATTACTTTTTATATTTTAATACTATAGTTTTAATTTTATTTTAGTCACTGTTTAGTTATATTTTAATTTTATATGTTTATTTTTAATATATTTAATTATTATTATTATTATTATGTAGTCATATAAATATATATATAATCAATAATATTTTAGCCATATAAATATATATATAATAAATAATAATTATTTATATTTATTATTTAATCCTATTTATAAAATTAATTTTATATAAATTACTTTTAGGAAAAATAATCATATTTTAATATATGTTTTTAATATTAAGAAAAAAGCTATCTTAAAGCACCTAGAAGTCATTTTCTGATATTTTTAATAATTATCCTACTTTTATAAAATATATATATTAATCTATTTTCTTTTATTTTTAGAGAAATGTTTTATTAATATTTATTTAATTTTTTTAATATTAAGAAAGGGTCTGTCTTAAAGCAACTAGAAGTCATTTTCTGATATTTCTAAGTAAATAAATATCTTAAAAATATATATTTATAAAAATTAATAAATTTGAAATCACATGATTATGAATTAAATATTTTTTTTTGAATTCTTAAATTTACAATAATAAAGACAATTTATAATTAATGGGTATCAATTTTAGGCGTTATAGCGGTGTAAATCCTTCCCTAAACGTAACCGACCACGAATCCTTTTTTATTAAATTTTTTTGGTTATATGCGTATCAGATTATCTTTTAAATTATGTTTTCTTAAAAACTATTTTAAAAGATTATTTTTAGGTATTTGACCTATTTAACCCAAAAAGGTAAATGGCGACTCCCAAAACATTTTTTAATCAAAATCATTTATTTATTCATTTTTTCCCGCCAAATAAAAAATTTTCGTGCCTGGGCAAAAATTGGTTACGACAGCTTGACGACTCCGCTGGGGACTGGTCAAGCTTTTAAATTAATTATAAATTGTCTCTATTAATTAGAAATTAAAAATTAATATTTATTTAATTTATAATTATTTTCTTTCAAATTTGTTTATACTTATGGTTTTTATTTATACATATATTCTTCTTTATTAATGTTTTTTAATATCATGTATTAAATTTCATTCTTTCAAAGCTTTGAAAATTTCTCCTCACACACAACACGTACATTGCATAACATAAGCTTTATAATCAAGCTTGTCCCTTTTAAGTGGGAGTGAAAGCGACGTCTTTGTGAGAATTTATTCTCCGTGTCAGACCTAGCAAGTAGCTTTCGGGGTTTATATGCTCTATGTCTTCGTGAGAATTTATTCTCCGTGTCAGGCATAGAGAAATGTGTCCCCTCGAATTGAACTCGATTCGCTTATGTCTGTAGTGGACTATGATTGAGGGTTGACAGCCCAAGGGGCATCAGCAAGGACAATTCGGGTACCTTTACTCTTAGAACTAAAACTCTTCATATAGTAAACCTTAGAAACTCTTCCGATCTGAAATCATGCCAAAATTTTGTCTAAAATAGGTGTACACGAAGGAGAAATGAATTCTAACTTTTTCCTTTTAATTTATTTATATATTTCTCTGCTAAATAAATTGCATATGAATTTAGATTATTTAAAGTATGCTATGTAGAAAGCATGTTTAAATAGAAATTTTTGGGTAGACATTAAATTAAATTTTTCCTTCTTTATTATTTGAACTAATTCATTTCTTTTTATGTTTTCTTTTATTTTTTCTGGTTGTATGGCATCATACATGATTAAAGGTATTAATCTTCGAGTTAATCGTCTCATTGGAAAACCTTCATCTATGGATAAAAAGTGCTCAAATCAAATAGTTCCAAACTCAGAAGTAAGACAGTGGGCCGAAGACTTACAAAGACAGGGGGGAGACAGTCTGTAGGACGATTATGTACCAGATTTAGCAAGTTATGCTCCAATTTCGCTAAAAAGAAATGATATTCAAGATCTGTGATGCATTTGAGAGAGTTAGGATTCAAACAAAAAGATGCAGTTCTATCAGTGTTACGGGGACATCTCATATTTGCTCTATGTCGAAGTTGATGATGAATTGCTTTGAGCCTTGATTCAATTTTGGAATCCCGGTTATAATTGCTTCAGTTTCAATAAGGAGGATTTGGTTCCTACTATTGAAGAGTATACAACTTTGCTACATATAGAAGGGGCTTTGGAGAATCGAATTTATTCAAGGTCAATCAAAACTCAACCTTTCCGAGTTAAATTAGCAAAGATTGTAGGAGTACGAGAGGAATGGGTAGTGGCTCGCACAAAACAAAAGGGTGAGGGTGAAGGCATTTCCTGGACCAACATCAAAGAAATTATTCAGAGTCATCCAGATAATAAAGTACGATTTGATCTCTTTGCTCTGTGTATATATGGTATGGTCATTTTCCCGAAAGCATTGGGATACATTGAGGCTGCAGTAGTAGATTTGTTTGAGCAGCTACAAAAAAAGGTCAATCCTGCTTCTGCAATTCTCGCAGAGACTTTTCGATCGTTAAGCGCTTGTAGAAGGCTGGGAGGTGGACGATTTTCGGGATGTGCACAATTGTTATATGTATGGATCCGTAGCCATTTTTGGAGGATAGAAAAGGTCTCATACCGTCGTTTCAGTACAGACTACTCACCATTGAAAGAGTTTCTGGAGCAAGAATGGCCGAAAGAAGTCACGAAAGACATGTGGATAAATGCCCTTCGAAATCTGCAAAGCAATGACATCGTTTGGTGTGTCCCGTGGCAAATTCAAAGAGAGTTCTTTTATAAATGTGCTGACTACAACTGGGTGATGCTGCTCGATTTATGGGGAGGAATTGGATATGCACCACTTCTGGTTATAAGGCAGTACGAGGGTCGTCAATTTATTCCTGTTACTGATGGGTTACACTCGTCTGAGTTTGTATTTCATAGCAAAAATTACAAAAGAAACATTATGGATGCCGTTAAAGCTTGGAAAACAACTTTCTGTATTCGAGCTAAAGAGCGAAAGTAATGTTAACCCTTGATTATGAGGAATGAAGGTATGTTGGGAAAATGAAAATATTCCTCTACCAGACCAAAATGAGGATATCTCTATGGAAGATCGCATTCGGGTAATTTCATCAGAGATAGAAATCCTAAGAGTTGAGTTTGAAGCAGAAAGAGAGGGTTGGTCGAAATAGTTAAAACAAATGCGACGAGATAAAGCTATGTTGGGCGTGGACGTTGACTTTCATTCAACACAATGTGCAATGCTGAGGGAAAACAAAGAAAAAGTTGATGGTGAGTTCAGAACGTTAAAGAAGAATTACCATGAGCTACAAAAATCCAGGAGAGCATCAGGATCGAGCAGAGCAACAGCACAGATGACCAAAGAGTTGAACATTTAGAAATGCAAAGTCGAAGATTTGAAAGGAAAAAATAGTCGTTTACGTAAAAGCCTTGAGAAAGGAAAGCAGAAAATGGAAGATCTTGAGGTTGACAAAATGGAGCGAATTATAAAACACAAACCTGAAAGTCGCGAGATTATGAATGAAATGAAGAAAGAAAGGGATCGGGCCAAAGAATTAGAACATATGAAGAATAGCATGATTACGGGATTTGAGGTTGAGAAAAACACCATGTTCAAGGGATTTGAAGCTGAAATGAACTATATGATTGCCGAACTTGAAGTCAGAGGGCAAAGGATTGAAGAGTTTGATGTTGAAAATAAAATATGGGATTTGGAGAGAAATAACTTCAATACCAGACTCGAAGTAGAGCAAGAGGTGTCCAACAATTGGATGCAACGATGTAGAAACAAGAATGTACAAATCCAGAAGCTTAATCA